CCTCCAGCCTAAAGGCTCCGGAGCCACCATCCCGGGTAGGAGAGGCTGGGTGGGGATGCCAGGCTCCGGTCTGCCCTTGCCATCCCGGGCTGCCCTTCTGCTCGGGGCTTCAGCAGGCTGGGGGCAGAGACCCGGGGTGGATGCCCCCGGGGAGGGTGCCAGCACCGGGCTCGGCGCCAGGGGAAGAGAATCTAGGTCATGGATCCTCTTTGGGAACAAGTACATCTGGTGCTGCCAAGGGAAACAAGCTGCCTTGAAAGAAGCAGCAGAAAAGGGAGAGAAACTGGCTTGAAAGTTAACAGGAGGACAGGGAGGAAGAACTCGGTGATTGAAACGAGGACACGGCAGGAAAGGTGAGCACACGGATTCTGGCATCACGCCCACGAAAGCCCAGGCACCTGAAGGTTCCTAGGCAGGAATATACGTAGGAAAGGTGTTGTGAGGATCCAGGGCTGGGCTAGCAGGTGGCTGCAGAGCAGGAGGGGGGTCCCAGGGCTGGATGACCAGGGGCTGCAGGGTGGGAGTGGGGAGCAGTGGCAGAGCTGTGCGGGAAACTCAGGGCTCCGTTAGTGGTGCGATGCAGGGCAGGTGTGGGAGAAACTGGCACAGCTGCTCGGCAGGAAGGAGGAAAAGTGAAGGAAAAAAAGGGCAGTAAGACCTGTCTCCCCCCTTCCCCACATGTTGCTTACGGTTCTGCGGTGAGAGACGTATGTCCAGGCAGGAAGAAGAGGAGAAGGAGGAAGAAGTTTGGTTTGCTGGGCAGCCCGTCCTTCCCCATGGTGCGAAGCAGGTGGTGGTGAGTCAGGCAGACATCCAGTCCGGTCCGGGGCTGCTGTTTTCCTGCACCTTGTAATGTCCCTCCGCTCTCTGCTGGGTCAGCCTCTTTATAACTGCTCTCTGCAAACAGCCCAGGGGCTGGAGGAGATAAGGGCTGGGGGCCAGGGCCCATCCGGGAACGGGGAGAGGCGGTACGGAGGAGCTGGAACAGAAGGACAGTATTTGGCCAGAGACTTTCCAAGTGGGGGAAGGGTATTTAATGGACTATGTGTATTAGAAATCTTTGAATGATTCATACCCTGCTTTCTTTAACCCACCAGAAATCCAAAGTGTTCAGGAAATGAAAGATGTTCCACACAGGGTGATATTCCCTGTGGGCAGCATCCGATCCCAGCGCTCTGGTGTGGGGTACTGTGATCTTTTGAAGCCAAAAGCCAAGTTTATAGGTATTTCAAGAATGAAAGGAAGCACTCAGAAGGGAACATTGCCCATATTGTGGTAACAGAATGCTGCGGTAGTTTGCTGACACAGTTTCTAACAGAGCTGCTGTGAGTTAGATAATTAATCTGTCAGGAATATAGCCCAAAATGAGGTAAGATACTGGTCCAGATACGGAAATAAGTTCTCTTACCAATGTGAATAGGCACAAATATTACACAACGCTGTTGGGAGACATCCTTTCCTTCCCAGCACAGTGATCATCTTCCACCCTTCAGTGTCATCTGGAGCACAGATGTTCCAGGTGATTGCTCCTTCCCTTTGCCAGATTCAGATCTGCGCTGCTGTCAGTCACGTCTGTAAGAAAAGTCACCCGGAAGCAGTGCTGCTCACTTGACTCGGTCTCCTGCAAAGCTCTGGTTGCACTAGGTTATCCAGAAGTTGAACCTAGTCAGAAAAAAAGTTTGCTAAATTCCAGCAGGTCGTTGAACAGAAATACCTACGAGCACTCCCTGAGAAGCCTTAACTGGGTGCAGTGTTGGCACCACTTTGCAGAAAGCTGCAAGATTGCAGCTGTAGGGCTGCCAGCACGTGCCTGCGCAGGGAAAGGCTCCGGCAACACTTTGCAGGGAGATTCGTGGCCCCTGCGAAGGTTTCTGTTGTCCACGAAGAACCCATCGGAGAAAAAGCTTCAGCACAAAGCACCTGGAATGTGTTTTTGGGAAGCCACGCTGGCGGCAGAGGTTCTCTGCTCTGTGCAAAGGAGCTGATGGGGTCACAACAGCCCCGGCAGCCCCATCTGCTCTTTGCCCAAAGATTAAGCTTGGAAAAAGAAGGAATGTTAAAACTGAACATCAGCTATACAGCATGTCTTGACTCTGGCGTAGCGGCCAGAAAACTGCAGGGAAGAGCAGCGCAGAGGACCGGGAGAAATGTCTGGGGATGAAGTTTAAGAACGGTGTTCAGAACTCAGGCATCGTCTCTCGTGGAGTAAAATCTAACGCCTTTTATACAGCACAAAAGTCAGGAAACCAGTCGGGCGGCAGCCAGTGTCTGCTGGGGGGAAGTGTTATATAAATGTCACGTGGAGAAGGAATGACCACGTACTCATGCACACCAAGAGCCTCAGCAGATGATCGGTTAGAGATGGAAATACTGATAAAAACACAGTTGTGTAACTACCAAGTAATGAAAACCATACAGATCTCTCTCCGGACATGCCCCCTGTTGCCTGTAAACAGCAGTTTTCAAAGCAAAAGTGTCCTAGGCTGGAAAACATGATTCATCCCGAGCTGCCTATTGCCATCCAGGCTGCTGTAAACTGAAACCAAAAAGAAATCCGAATGGGCTCGTGCAGAGCACGCTTTAAGGATGCGCAGTTAAAACGTTAAAACTAAAATTCGTAGATCTACAGGGCCATCAAAACAGAGACCTTATTCACTATCGTGGTCTTCCTCCTGCTAGCCAATTTACCATCCACGAGGTACAAAATACCCACTTCTCAGTCCCCCAGGAACCACCTACCAGCTCCCTGGCACCCTAACGCCCACTTTGCTCCATGAGCCCTTTAGCTAGGGCAGTTGCTGCTTCAGCTGGTTCCTCTCCCATTAAGCTCAGAACAAGTGGTCTGAACTGGTACACAGCTTAAAAGCTTCGGGGTGCTTTTTCAGACCTGAAGGAGTGACTGTGTCTGAAGGACTGGCTACTTCTTCCAGCTGGCTGCTCTAATAAAAGTTATCACCACCGAAAAAGGGACACATCATCTTTGCCGTACACGGTGATGGCTTCAGTGACCTGGCAGTCATGATTTTAACCACAGAAAAGTTATCTCCTCTTACAGTGATACTTCATACGTGTCTGAGGTCACTGTGCAGCTGGCAGAGCAGGAGACGATCTCTACCTATCTCATACCTTCTGAGACTAGTCCCCACACTGAGCTGGTAAAAACCCTACAAGAATCATTGTGCCCAACTGTTAATCACAGAGAACTTAAATTAGGCCCCGTCACAGTAAAGGGTTGATAGACTCAAAATGACTAAATCTAATTTCTCACAATCCTCCAAGCAGCGTGGATTTCTGTGCTAAATGATAGCAACTAATTTTGATTCATCCTTCTTGAAAACTAATGATTACATATGTTTGGTCTCCCTGTTCCACAGCAGGCTTTTGAAACTTATTTATTCCCAATACTAAATTAAAACTACGGCATTATTCTAAAATCTTGTTTTGTTCCAAAGAACACTTGGGAAAATTAGCTTAATTCTAGGTAATTCTCAGACAGTTCACCATGAAATATCACTAAGTTACATGTGCTGATGCACTGGATATCCTTTACAGGTACTATCGAAATGGAGCAAGACACCAGGTCAGTAACAAAAAGATGATATGGGGACACTTCTATTTGCCCTGAATGTATCATTATGACCATTTGTTTTATTTTCCGGAGTTTTCGTTCTCCACAATGTTTCCTTCACAGATTCCTTTCCGCCAGCACTATAAAATACATTATATTGGAGTTGGACTGAATGACATAAAAGATGCAATTAAAGAGTTAATACAGGCCATCATAAATATTGATAAATTCCAGTCACAGCAAACCTTATTCTGCAAAGCTTCCTATAAACCATACAGTCTTCACTGCATCACCCGGCAAAGATGACAGAAAAACGTGTCCTATACCTCTAAGTCTATGACCACTACAGAAAACATATTTCCCCATAGAATCACAGAATGGTTGGGGCGGGAAGGGACCTCAAAGATCATCCAGTTCCAACCCCCCTGCCACGGGCAGGGACACCCTCCACTACACCAGGTTGCCCAAAGCCTCATCCAACCTGGCCTGGAACACTTCCAGGGATGGGGCAGCCACAGCTTCTCTGGGCAGCCTGTGCCAGTGCCTCCCCACCCTCGGTGTAAAACGAAGCAAAGGCAGGCGTGTCGTGGACTCTTGAGTGCTATCACAGTCGTTGTCCATGAAGCATATAAACTAGAAGTTCATCACAAATGCACCTTTGTGACACTTCTTCTCAATCAGTCTAAAAATCAGACTTACACCAATGCCCGAACATTTTACTCTTGAAGATATAGTCTCCTGGATAGAAACAAAACAAACAAGCAAACTAAAAAAAAGAAACAAAACTCAAAGCTTGACCACTAAAGGTTTAAAAAAAAAGAAAAAGAAAAAATGAAAGTCCAGAGTAGATAACTGATACCAGGAGCAAATTTTGTCCTAAACTACATTTTGCTTCTGCTTAAATGTCTTCCACTGTTCCAGTGAAACAAAGCCATGTTCTTCTCTGTTAGTTCTGAATCAATTAAAAAACCCACACAGATCCAATTCTAAGGGAAGAAACATTCAAAGAGGAAACATGACACCTGCAAAAAGCCACAAACACAAAATAATGACCTTAATTCTCTACTAATGGAAAAATTCAAATGAAGACTGCATTTCTACTTGAGGGACATAGTGGGCATTCAATGACAACAGGACTAGGACATCCCTGTCAGGGAGTAGCAAGAGCAAGACTGCCTCACAAGGGGAGAAGAAGCCAGGAGTCACGGGTGACCCCAGCACAAATGATGCCATCCCAACAGGGCACAGTACCAGAGCAAGGTGGGCACAGCCATGTGCTGACAGTAACAGCTTCCACCAACAGCCCAGTGCGCACCAGACAGGCAACAGTCAGAGCCAGGGCTCAGCCAGGAGAGGACATGGACAAGAACATGACAGGCAGAACAAGATGAGGGCCCTGGCAAAATAAAATGAACATAAAGATACTGACCTGTGCAATTTTAATCACCTTAACCCGATTCTGACATATTTTCCTCCGACTTCTCTCCAGTTTCTGTTGTGCAGCTTTGTAGATGACAACCAATCGTCCGATAATGGAGTGGCTCACCAGTCACCGCAGGAGAAGCTGCCTGTGGGTTATTACTCACCAACATAGGCTGCAGCTCCACAGCAAGTTGTTACACCCCCCCCAAGCCAGGAGAAAATGGCCCACCTTTTGTAGGAAGGGCCTAAACCTTAATTAATGACATAATTACGAATTCATACCAGCTGGATGCATCTCCATAGTGGGTGGGGGTAAACACCCTTGGTACTATCACAACAGTGTTATGTGCAGGAATCCTTGTCTGCTCCAGCAGCCTTGAGCACTTCTGGAACCACTGTCCCCAAAGGTAAATAACCCCAAGCAAGACACCTGCTTCTTTACTGTGTTCCTATTCCGCCTTCTCGAGGGCTGCAGGTAGCCAAGTGCCCAGCCCCCAAAGCCAAACCAGAGCAACACACCGAAATTCAACCCTTGGCTTCTGAGAAGAGGCACGTGTTAAAAGGAGACACTGAGGAAACAGTTCTTGGTGACACTGGTGTCCGCACGCTTTCACACAAGCCCCTCTGGTGGAAACCAGCAGCTCTAGCAAAGGAAGGTCTCTCTTCAGGACCGACGTCAGCTTTGCACGGGGACAGGGGAGAAAAGAGCCACTGTGGAAACTCAGACTTACATGAACAGTCGTGTTAGCTGTTCAGCTGAAGGCTGGAAAAATCCTGCAGGAGTAAAAAGAAAAAAAAAAAATAAAAATCAGTGGTTCTATTTTGAAGGAAACCCAAATAATGACATTAGTTTCCCCAGCCTATATATTTAGGAAAAATATTATACATTAT